ATATATATATATATATACAATACTCAAAACAAGAGGGACAACTACAGTTTTCACTATAGTATGATTGAGACTGTGGCAAACAAATATTCAGAAGTTAGGTGGGTGAGTTGATGCCATTGTTAATGTTAGGAAGGGTCATCGATGTTTACAATGATGACCAGATTTGACACATGTCGTTTAATTTACGCTGCCTAGACAGGGTGAAAGGGGGACAATTTTTTTTTTTAATTGAACCTGTTTTTGACAATCAATCAAGTGATTTTCAGTGAGTGGTATGGGTTAAAAACCAACTCAGGGGAATTCACGCTTCCTACACTAATGCCTGAGTGAGTTTGACAGTGCTGGGGGTATTTGTTGCGGGCATATTAAGCGACTTTTAACAATCCCTCCAAGAAGACGTCTGAGCAACATCTACAGTGGACGAGCCCTAGCTTGGCTCCACGAAGGGATTGCTGTCCGTGAAGTGGCAAGACGGCTTGCTGTGAGTCATTCAGTGATCATCAGACTGAGAGTGAGAGACCGGGTTTCTGCAACTGGAACTGATGTTGAGCGAAGGCGGTCCGGACGGCCACGTTGCACCACTCGACGAGAGGACCGGGCGATCGCCAGAACAGCCCTGGAAACTCGAACCTGCACTGCCCGTCACATCAGACAGCAGGTGGTACCCCCAGGCAGCGTTGGAATCAGCGACCAGACCATTAGAAACCGGCCACGTGAGATTGGTCTACGCTCTAGACGACCAGCAGTCTGGATTCCACTGACACAGGCCCACCGGATTGCCCACATAACCTGGTCCACCAAGCACCTGAGGTGGACACACCTGCAGTGCTCTTTACGGATGAGTCCATCTTCACATTGTCCGTCAACGATGGCAGGATCTGTGTTTGGGGGCGTCCTGGTGAACGCTTCCACGACGACTGTGTACAGGAGCGTGACCGGTACGGAGGAGGTTCCGTTATGGTGTGAGGTGGGATTGGACTCAACCACCAGACCCCCCGCATCGCATTCAAGGCACTCTGACGGGTATCCGCATCAGGGACGAGATTCTCCGCCCCATTGCAATTCTAGCTCTTCGGCAATGAACCAGGGCGCTGTACTCCAGGGCGACAACGCCAGACCTCTCCGTGCTCGAGTGGTGGATGACTTCCTGCAGCAACAGCACGTGATCAGGCTTGGCTGGCCAGCCTGATCACCGGACCTTAGTCCCTTTGAACACTTGTGGGATGCTCTCGGGTGGCGAATAAGAGACCATCAGCCACCCCCAAACAATGCGGATGAACTCTCTAACATGTTGGACCAAGAATGGCAAGCCATTCCACAACTGTTATTGTGAACACTTATTCAGTCCATGAAACAAAGATGCAGTGACTGTTTTCTTGCAAATGGTGGCCACATGCGATTTTGAGCCCTAATAGTTTATGACGACTGTGGTGTGAATTTTAAAAACATGGGTTACCTCCTTCAACATCTGAAATTACCCATATTCCATTTTAAAATGTGCTAAATGTCGTTTGCAAAAGGTGATATGATGAATAAAAATCCCTTTCAAACAATTTTGAACCGTGTCATGTTTTTCAGCTTTATGCCCTATGTGTGGCTTTAAGTGGTCCTTAACTTTTTGAGTAGATATATATAAATAAAT